GGGAGAATTGCCAGTGGGGGTTTTTTTAAAAGAAAAAATAAAAGAGTGGAAATGAATGTGTTAAGCGTCCCTTTAGCCCCGTCTCCGTCTTTCAATAGGAATGCCTCTAAATTGTTCAACCCTGTGTACAAACACAGCTATCATTGCAGATCAATTCACTTGGTGATGTTAAACAAACCAAGAGCTTTTTAGCCTTTCGGCTGAAAAATGGAACTCATTTAAAACCGTTCTATCTTGCCAGCTTGCACTACAGTAAGAATGATTGAGCTAATGACTGAGGAATGCTTTAAGTTTAAAGCTTAAATACACATGGAATGTATCAATCTATCTATCCAGGGGTTTCCATAGGGAGGAATTTAAAAAATGATGCTACCCTCCACCTTACATTGGAAGCCTGACCATTTTTTACATGTAGTGCAATGCAGAAAAAGGACTGAGGCTTGGACCTGATTTATTTGACTATCTATGCATCTACCTGTCATTTTCAATGCTCTGTGAGAATTGCCATAATAATAATGGTGGAAATGCCTATACAGGTAGCCTTTGATTTAGAACAGAGGTGGTATTCAGCAGGTTCTGACCAGTTCTGGAGAACCGGTAGTGGAAATTTTGAGTTCAGAGAACCAGCAAATAACACCTCTGACTGGAGATTTTACAATATCCTTCCCCTGCCACGCCCGCCAAGCCACGTAGTAAAAAAAATTGAATCCCGTCACTGATTTAAAACTATTTGTTTAGGGACCACTCAAAGTTACAACAGCACTGAAAAAAATGACATAGGTCTGGTCCTCACGCTTACAATTGTTCATCCCCACAGTCATGTAATCAAAATGACTGCTTGGCAGCCATCATATATTTACAATTGCTGCAGCATCCCAGGGTCACGAAATCATCATTTGTGACCTTTCCAGGTGGGTTCTAACAAGCAAGGTTAATGGGGGGGAAGCCAGATTCGCTTAATGGCTGTGTGATTCACTTAACAACTGCAGTGATTTACTTAACAACCATGGCAAAAGTCATAACATGGAGCACTTAACTGCACATTTTCATAGCAACAGAAATTCTGGTCCTAACTGTCGTTGTAAGTTGAGGACTAATTGTATCTTTCTCTGTTCTTATATTTATGGGATAAATGAAGTTACGTCCTTTTGATCTGGGAGCTTGCTACTGTACAAGTGTTGTTGTTGGTCTTTTTTTTTTTTTTTGCTTTTTCATACAGCTGCTGGCAGAGCTGGCTCAGTTCAAAACAGAATAGCATGATTAAAAACCTTCACACTGCAGGGTTTTATACCCCTCTGCATCTTCCTCTGTTCTGCAATTTCAGGAAGGTGGCAGAAAATTGCTCAATTAAAACAAGTTCATTGAATGTTACAAATATTTGTCAGTTGTAAAACTGTTTACATAATGTGAAGCTTTATATGTTTCCCACCTCCTGACTTGCCCATCATTAGTTGAAAGTAACTTCCTTTTAGCCAGAGGTGGTATTCAGCAGGTTCTGACCAGTTCTGGAGAACCGGTAGCGGGAATTTTGAGTAGTTCAGAGAACTGGCAAATACCACCTCTGACTGGCCCCGCCCCCATCTCTTCTCTGCCTCCCGAATCCCAGCTGATCGACTGGATCTTCTTTTGTTGCCCTGCATAGGAGAACGGAGCTGGAAAGCAGGTTAGTGGGGTGGGGAGGGAATGGGATTTTACAGTAACCTTTCCCTGCCACTCCCACCAAGCCACTCCCACCAAGCACACCACGCCCACCAAGCCACACCCCCAGAACCGGTGGTAAAAAAATGTTGAATTCCACCACTGCTTTTAGCCATTTGAAGGCAGAGTCCACTCTGTGGATGAAATTGATTTATACTACGTTGTGGGCCTCATATAAAAGTCTCAGTGGTAAGAAAATAATGTTATAAATAATAACTCCAATGAAGAATACCAGCAAACCCAATGCTTTTCTTCATTTGATGCGTACATATATATCCAGCAGATTAAACTGAGATTAAGACCCAGGACAAACACACACACACACACACACACACACACACACACACACACATGCAGCAAGGAAAAAGAATGTTTGGAATCAAAGGACCTCATTCGTAGCTTGGAAGTCTTGGGTTTCCCCAAAAAAATGGTGCCAAGGAAAAAAGATTTTCTGCTCACCACATCCTGTACTGGGGGTAAACAAACAATCCATTCACCAGAAGCCAGCTGGTAAAGTTTTCTTCCTGATACTTCCGCGATCCACCCCACCCTGTAATCCACCCCTATCTTACTACTTTTGCCCCTTTGTCTGGTTGGATTGCATTACCCAGTGTGTTTGCTGTCTGCAAATGGCTGTTGGACCTGGAAACGTTCTTAGAAAATGGAAGGTATGCTAGAAGCTTCCTATTTAATTTTCTTTTACATTTGTAATTAAAGAGAGGAATAAATATATATTCATCAAGAAAGCATCCTCCTCACCTATGATACATCGTCAGGGGCGGAGGTGTGTGTGTATATGTGTGTCAGTGTGTGTAAAAGTTAAGATGTTAGCCACAACATTCCAACTGACAAAAGTAGTTGAGCGCTGGACTTTTAACAGTGTGATTGCAGTTTCCATTTTAACATTTTTTGACCCTCTCTGGATGTCCCAAAGACATATTTGGTGTTCATGATTATTCCATAATGCTAGCTTATTCCAAGGTATATAGCTCTTTTAATACATTTTATACTGCTGTTCATCTTTGTATCAAGAATAACGTATAAGTAATTTGTACATTTTTCTTCTCGGTTAGCCTCCCGTTCATCAGCTGGGAGGGCTGCATAGACAATTTGCAGTACAGGTAGTCCTCAACTTATGACCACATTATGTTGCTAAGTGAGAATTTGTTAAGTGAGTTTTGCCCCATTTTACGACCTTTCCTGCCATGGTTGTTAAGTGAATTGTTGCAGTTGTTAAGTTAATAACGTTGTTGTTAAATGAATCTGGACTCCTGGTTGACTTTGCTTGTCAGGTCATAAAAGCTGATCACCTGATCCCTGGACACTGCAACTTCATAAATATGAACCGGATTCCAAGCATCTGAATGTTGATCACATGATGGTGAGGATGCTTCATAGTCATAAATGTGAAAAAATGGGCATAAGCCCCTTTTTTTCAGTCTGTTGTAACTTTGAGTGGTCACTAAATGAACTGTGGTTATTTTCCCATAGCAAATCACGCTGTCTGATCACAGCCATTGCTTTATTTTGGTGCCAGTATTCCTGACTGTATATATGTTAGCAATTGTTGGAAGAATTATTCTTCTGGGTTCAGTTCCAAGTGGGGAAAAAGACACTGGAAACATGGAGGCTGTTTGGAAAGATGGTTTAATGGTGGACAGGACCACATGGCTTGGAGCTCCAAAGATGGTCACATGCTTCAAGATATTGAATGAAGGAAAAGAAAAAAGGGCCAAGATGCTGAGAGACCCTTAGTTTTATACCCTCTGTTGGGACCCACCTTAGTGTTTCCTGTTCCTGTGTAAGAAATATCCCATTGGCTGTCAGACTCCCTGGGGCGGGGGTCTTAGCTAACATTGTAGGCTTTGTCTGGACCACATGGCTTCACCTGAGTGCTGGCTGATGCAATCTTCCCAGGCCAGGTGGTGAGATGAGTAGAGGCCTTTGTTATGTAGAATACTCTGACCCAGGCCTTAATGGCCCACCCATTAACAAAGGTGTGTGTGGGGGGGGTTGAGCTTCTGCCTCTCTGAGTTTCTACTTCTCTTTTAGGGAAAATATTCTGCCTTTTAAATATTTCCTATGATATTTCATTTTTCTAGGAGAGGGGTGGATGCTAAGTTCCTACACTCTCTATCAACTTCTCAAAGTCTGCATCTTTTTGGTCTTGCTCTTTCTTTATCCTGTTGGTGTATATAAACCTGTGATTGCCCACTGGAATGTATGTGAAGAGTTTAGTTCAGAAAGTGTGCCTCAATAAAACTGTTAGTATTAAAAGAAGAACAGTTCTATATAAATGATATTTTTCAATGATCTTTACTGTCTATTATTTTTGTCCTTTTAAATATATTTTCTCTGACGGCACATTTTGGTTAATTTTGGTTCATTGTGTTTTGTATATACAGTTAGTTGTTGGTCAGAAACTTAACATGTTATATGAACTTAGCCAACTGCAGCTCATTCAATAATCATGGTAAACCACAGCTTGACATGTGACATGAACACATGCATTCTTCTAAGCTATAATGTACTTCGTCTTGTTTTGTTTTAGTGTGTTGAATGAACACAGCTTGGTAGGAAAACATTCTGATTTCATAGTATTTTGTTTGGAGGAAAAAATGCCAGACTTTCAAACTCTGTCCAAACTGATTAAGATCCCAAAGAGATTTTTTTAAAAAAAAATATACCTTTTTTATGCCAAAAATAAATTGGCCAAATTGCATATTCTAGCTTTGGCCAACCAAGGACTGGCTTGAGCGGTTGGAATCCATTTCCTATAACTCTGAGACATACCCGCAGGGGATATGAGATTTGCACTCCAAGCCTAACCCCCTATATTCTGCATTTCTGTACCCATTTCCTTGGAACGAACGTGTAAAGCCTTCTTGAACTCAAAGGGTAATGCTTCTGAACGGGCGGTTGGACACGCAGAATTGCAGACCAGCTGCGCTTGGAAATTTCTGCTATGTAGGATGACGCGTACGTGCTGAGGCTTCTACAATTGCCCCAAAGCACAAAATACAGTCTTGAACTCTGAAGTTGGAATATCAGATTTGTGACGTAAAGCGCGGAGGAAAGGGGGAAAAAAAAAACAAAAAAAAACCAGCAAGTCATGCTTACTGGCGAGTGACTCACGGCCACTTTTCAGCAGCTTGCCAAGAATCGCGGCCGGCGCAAGAGCGAAAGCTTGGGCTGCCGGAGTCCCGCCCCCTCCCGGCGGGGCTTCCACCGTCTCTAAATCCATAAAAGGCGGAGCTCCCAGCCGGCGCGTTTCTTCCTCTCTCGCCCGTTTTGTGTTGCAGAGCATGGGCAACAACTGAGAAACGCGCTCTTTGAACTCACGATGGAGCCTTCCTTGCCTGCCGTGTTTGCCCGAAAGCAGTACGTAGGCGGCTACGACCGGACGGTGAAGGTAGGGAACCAATGTGTGCCCGTGGTTTAGTGTGCGGTGCGGGTTTTCCAGATGTTTGAGGCGACAACTCCCATGTATAGCACGCTGGGTTGAGGTGTTGAAAGAAAACGATCGGATGGGGAGGGTGTGTGTGTGTGTGTGTGTGTGAAGCAGCTGGCTGAATGCTGTGTGCATCCTAGCCGAACTAACTATCAAGCAACCCTCGCTGATTTCGGGGTCGTTTTCTTGCGCTTTTCCTTGAGGATACGGAGTCCCATTGAACTCTGTGGGACTTCTGATAGGAGTTCAGAGAAAGGCGGTTTTCCTCCTCTCGGCAATCCGCTTTGCGTGATCTGCTCTCTCCAACGGACCTGCCCTCTCGCTCTCCAACGGAGGTTGTAATCAGAGTCCAGAGTCACAGATCTTTGGACACTTGACGCTGCAGGAATTCTGCATGCATTTTTTGGGGTGGGGTGGGGTGGGATGTACAGGTTTTCCCAAAATAAATTGGTTGCTGATGCCACGACCATCCGTATGCATAAGTTCTGATAGGACCGAAGGGAAACAAGTTGACAGCAATTTGAGTTTCAAGAGGATGTGCAAGAATACTGGGCTGTTCGAGATTTTGAAGGAGCTAAAAGGTTGCATGACAGGTTATTGGTAAGGTTGCTCTAATATTACTTTGTCCTTATTTTGAGTCCTGATGCTTGGGTCCATTAATTCTTTTGCACAAAAACTAGAGCCTTTTAATAAAAGGCATTAGTCTGAAAAACTGCTACTATACTTCTGGTTTTTTTTAAAATAATAGTAATAGTATTTGCATATCTTAAAATGTCCCATTCCATTTCATGTCTTAATAAAAAATACTGCAAAACTACATAGTTCATCTACTTGGTCAATAAATTGGCTTGTATTTATGTGTGGGTATATGGGGGGAAGGAGAAGCACATTTATGCATACCTTATTATTCTTCATTCCTTTTACGCAGCAAACACAACTGCCTTGGTCTTTGTTATATTGAATTTCAGGTACATTTTCCTTAGTGCATCATAGAATCAATCTAACATTCACTGCAAATCATTAGGATTGTTAGCCAATACCCTGGCATCATCTGCATTCAAAAATGCAATGGACATACCTTCAGGTCATCTCCAATCCCACAAGACTTCTAACATCACCCAAGCATCCCTTATACGGTTATCCACAAATGCATTAAACAACCGCCCTGGCCTTATTCCTTATTGTGGTTGATCAGTTGCTAAGTCATGTCCAACTCTTCGCAACCCCATGGACCATAGCACACCATGACTCTCCTCCATTGTCTCCCAGAGTTTGCCCAAATTCATGTTTGTTGACTTGATATTATCTAACCATCTCATCTTCTGCTGTCCACTTTTCCATTTGCTTCCAGTCTTCCCCAACATCAGGGTCTTTTCTATTGAGTGGTGGCTAAAATATTTGAGCTTCAGCTTTTCTGCTCAGTACCAATCAATTTGTAAAACATCTTTATTTTCTTCCCCTTTTAGCAAAATATGTCCATTATAGACAACAGATTCACTTCATTACCATGGCAATTCATTTAACTGCTACAAAAAAAAGTCTTTTTTAGAGGAGATCATGTGGTGACCTGCTTAATGACCAGCATGACTTGCCACTGTAATTCTGGGCTCATTAATGTTGTAAGTTGAGGACTGCCTATATATTACCGTAATTCTCTTGCTACTGATCCCATTCTCATCTATTTAGTCATGCCCCCAACAAAATAATTGTTTGTCCTGCATTGTACGCATTTAGAATGTACAATTTCCCCCCTAATTTATTGCTGGTTGTTTCATTTTCACTGAACTATTATCCACCTTATGGATTCATAATTTCAGATACATCCTAGCAAAGTCCATGCTACTAATTCCTATTTTCTGACATATACTATAGGCCAGTGATCCCCAACCTTTTTGATGCCGCGGCCCGGTACCGGCATCAGCTGAGCGCCGCGGCCCGGTACCGGCATCAGCTGGGCGCCGTGGCCCGGTACCGGCATCAGCTGGGCGCCGCCATCTTTTTTTGATGAAAACGTGCTTCCGGTGAGCTTTCTACCCGGAAAAGCTCACCGGAAGCACTTTTTCATCAAAAAAAGATGGCAGCGCCCAGCAAGCCAGCGGCCCGGTAGGAGTTGTTCCGCGGACCGGTACCCCTGCTATAGGCCATTCCATTTATAATTAAATGTGCACATCACTTCAGCATACAATCAGACCACCTTTAGATTTATGCTTTTCTTTCTTCTTACTTTTGTAGACACACAGCCTACCTATTTTTTTCTTCATTTGGTTTATTCATTAATGTTCTTTACCACTTTATAGCAACAGCACTGAGACTTATATACCACTTTATAGTGCTTTACAGCCCCCTCAAAGCGGTTTACAGAGTCAGCATATTGCCCCCAACAATTTGGGTCCTCATTTTACCCACCTCAGAAGGATGGAAGGCTGAGTCAACCTTGAGCCTGGTGGGATTTGATCTACCAAATTGCAGTAGGAGTAGCTTGCAGTACTGCACTCTAACCACTGTGCCACCGAGCCTCCATCCATTTATCCTCTTGCTTTCCAAAGTTCCATATGTCACTGTCATAAGATGTGCTTATAGGTATTGATATCTGCTGCTTATCATAACTTTGCTTTATTGAAACTTTTGTGTAGTGCTTTTTCATAAGATAAATGAAATAAAGAGTGTATCAGTCAGCTTTGCCAATTTTGTTTAGTATCTTACAGGTATAGCCAAAGCCCACTTTTGCTCTAAGTGTTCTCTAATTATTCTGTGTGAGCAAGGATCTATAATTTTGGAAGACAACATACACTTACTCATATCCCACCAATTAAGATGTATACATACTGTATTGATAAAGACTCAGAACACAGAGTTATACAGAATAGACAATCCTACTACTATACCCAACCCATTCTGGTCAGCTGACAACACAATAAAAACAATACATTTTTAAAAAAATCACAAAGGGTAATATATCAACATGCAGCTACATTACTGAGCTTATAAATGTAATTGTTGAATTAATCTTGGGGGTTGTGGAAATTAGTGGAAGACTTTATCTGTGCAAAAGGATATTTAGAAAATTGAAAGATAATTTTTAAAATGAAGAATGGCAGCTAATTTATCTACAATGGATTAAGAGCCAAATTCTTCTCTGATTTAGCACTGCACCTCAGGTTGGTGAAGCATGAGCAAATATTTCTGCTTTTATAGAGTATTTTTATATGAATTGTTCCTTAAAACTACACCGAACTCTCTCTTTTACCAGTCAGTTAAGTCTTTTTTTTCCCCCTATAAACATTACCCCTCTCCACCAAACAACTTGGGTTTATGTCAGCTTCCTTGTCCTTTCATATTAATCTCATGACTTCAAGGATAAGTATATTAAATCTTCATGTGCATATCAAAGAACTAACATTATGGAATTATTTTTAAGACCATTTTTGACCAAGTGCCTGCAGCTATTGGAAAATGCAGGGAATATACCTCAGACTACAATCCCATCTCTAATAAACTAGATATTCAAGCTTGGTAATTATTTAGGATGCCTAGATATTCCTGAGATACAATCCCACTTTGTTTATGGATGCAATGAGTCAGTGAAGTGAATTATATTTAAGATTTATCATCTAATAACCCATTCTCTTTGCTGCTTGCCAGTGTTTTTGCAAAGGAAATTGTAGACCAGAATTACAGCCTTATTAGATGCAGGTGCATTTATCTTTCCCTGTATAAACCATTTAAAGAGGCTGCAGATTATCAGAAGAAAGTAGTAGAGGCTGAAAGGAAAATATTGATTAAATCTTGGGGAGGAAGGGCACGTACTTGATTGAAATTGCTCTTCCTAGCTTCCTGTCTGAACAGTGTGGAACAGTAAAATAATATAGCTAAACATATATAAGTTTTGTTAAAACAAGGTTCTAAACAGAGTAGTTCCTCATAAATCTTTTATTTTATAGGTGATCCTGACAAATGCATTCCCAGTGGAAGTTTTGGAAAACTTCCAGTGGAGGTTTAGAAAGTTTAAGTAGCTTCCTTCCCAGAGATATCCCTTGCTGGAGTTTGATTTTTAAAGAGTTCTTCTGTTATGCATTACTATGGGGTCAAGCTTCTTTTAGCTCTCACCTATCTAAGAAAGGGTGTCAAACTCGTGTCGTCATGTCGTTGTCACGTGACATATTATGATTTTCCCCTTCGCTAAACCAGGGGTGGGCGTGGCCAGGGCATGATGTATCCGGCTTCTGGGTCACAAATTTGACACCCCTGATCTAAGAGATTATTTCTTGGCAAATGACAACAGTTCTGAGTACTGTATAGCGCAGTGGTCGCCAACCGGTGGGCTGCGGCCCACTGGTGGTCCACGAGAAAATTTTGGTGGTCCGCAGAGAAATGTCACTCCCAGAGCACCCCCCAAAGCAATTAATCCAGGCTGTGCAGGAACACAAAGCTGTGCCGCCCACATGGCCACGGGAATCCTCCCTGCCACTCACTCCTTATCTGGCAAACTTGCCTGCTAAATTGCTATTTTTCTTTTTTCCGACCATCATCTGTTCTGCTGTGCGGGAGATTTAGATTAGCTAGAAAGCAGGAAATGGTTGGATTTCTTGCTTTCTAGCTAATCTTTAGATGTTCGGCTCTGCTTTTAAGCTGAACCTTCCTTAGGACTGAAGCAGTGCAGACTCAGGTAGCCGATGGCAGAAACACAAATCTCTAAGTGAATCTGTGATTCTGTGAGCAACTCAATCTGCCTGCCTGCTTTGCCTGCTTTTGGGTAAAAGTTGCTCTTTTTTATAAAAAAATCAATATTTATATTAATATTTATAATATTTACATACAAGCCATGCCCAGCCAGTTACATGACCACCAAGCCATACCCACAAATTAGGCCATGCCCACAGAACCGGTTGTTAAGAAATTTGAATCCCACCCCTACCCCGTGTGTTTGTGTGTGTGTGTGTGTGAGAGAGAGAGAGAGAGAGAGAAAGGGAGAGGGAGAGAGAGGTTAGATCAGATCTCTCTCTGTCTTCTCTCTTTCCCACCAATGTCAGCAAACCACCATCAGTCAAAATTCATATTAATTGTCCCCGGGATTTAAAATTATGAGTTTGGTGGTCCCTGAGCTCCAAAAGGTTGCCGACCCCTGGTATAATGCATCATTCAAAAACAAAATGAGAAAACAGCATTATTTAAAGATACATCACTGAATGTATCAAGCTATAAAATGCATTGCTTTTTTTGTTATTTCAGGGGTTTATGGAAGTTGTATCTTGTATTAACTGAAATATTTTTTGTCTTCAGAAATAGAGAGGCACCATAAGTTAAAAAAAAAATGGCTAAACAAAAGGCTAAACCACATAATGATCAATTGAGGGAATTAGGTATTTTAGTCTAATGAAGGGAAGGACTAACAGTATTTCAGTACTGAGGGGCTATCACAGAGATGAGGGGGTTGACCTATTCTCCAAAGCATCTGAGGGCAAGATAAGTAATGGATGGGAAGTCATTAAATAAAGATCCAATCTAGAACTAGGGAGAAATTTCCTGACAGTGAGAACAATTAACCAGTGGAACAGCTTGCCTCTGGAAGTTGTGGGTGTTACATCACTGGAGATTTTGAAGAAGAGATTGGACAGCCATTTATCCAGAATAGTTGGGTCTCCTGTTCAAGCATGGAGTTGAACTAGATCTTCAAGATCCCTTCCAATCCTATTATGCTATGTTCTATCAAAGGACAGTATTTATATAACTAATGCATGTAGCCCCTAATATGCAGAACTTCAACCCATTGATTTGGAGCATTTAAGGAACAAGCCACACATGATATAAAACACTGTAGGCTGGGATGTCAAGGTCTTCACATTTGTCTCACTCTAGTTCAAATAAAGATGGAATTAAACACTGCCAGTTGTTCAGGGATGAGAAATTATTTTCATGTAGAAGACTCTAGGCCCAGTTTCTAGAGTCATTGGAAGTTATGAGAGTAGAGCCCAAATGTGTTTTGGAAAGTACCAAAAATTGGGGAGATTGCATTCGATTGCATTAAGCCAGGTAGTTTAATTATCTTTTCCTAGTAGTGGCAAAATTATTCCCCACCTCTAGGTTCACCTTCTTTTTCCTCCGGATTTTGTTTCAGGAAGTAGTAATTTTTCCACTTCACCTTTGAGTTATAGTGCTGCTTTGGACATTGATCAGTTTCTATATTTTCTGTGTTCAGGCACACCGTGAAGGAGCTTTTCTTAAACTACTTGAAGGAAACTGGCAAACGAAACAAGCTTCATATGACTATGATCTGATTGTCATTGGAGGAGGTTCTGGTGGACTGGCAGCTTCAAAGGTAAGATCAGCCAAGCTAGATTCACAAAAAACATTCTGTTAGCTAGAATTTCTTCCAATATGTTTTAGCAGAGTCTACGAAATGAGCTGTCTCTTGATAAGCTACAGATAGGTTTGTGAAACGCTGAATACATTTTACAATCAGTTCAGACAACCTTCCTAATCGGCTTCCGGCCATCTATGTTAGCCTTAGTAAAAAATCCAATAATTTTAATTGCAACATCTGGAAGACACCAGATTGGAGACTGTCCTATATAATCAATGTAGCAGGCTGGGGAAGCTACTATACAACCCTATGGAAAACTTCAAACTATACCATAGATCCATGTCAAGCAGTGTTTCTCAAATACTTTGAGAATTCCTCTTAAAAAATGACATAAGACCAGAATTATATTGGACTGAAATCTAGCCATGTCTCCTGATTACTGAGTTGAATATATATTTAAGATCCATCCTCCTCATTCTTCCAGGTATTTTAGAAATGGTTTTCAGCATAATCTTTGGCAACTGGAAAGCAAAAGACTGGAAAAACTAATCTAAAGAGAATTGTTTGAAACATTTTAATTAATAAACCATTCATCTTGTTTTAGAATCTGTTAAAATAAATGAAAAATAATTATTTTACCTTTCTGAGAAAATGCAAAACAATATTTTTCCTTTAATTCCTTTGGTGTGAATGAAGTATGAGATGTGAGTATTAATAGTTTTGAAGGATACAAGATTTGAATTCCCTTTTCATCTAAAAGTATTGTATTTATATTTTTAAATAAAATATGTATCCAGCTGTATTGGAAAAATGGTTGCCAACAGTTAAATGCCTGAAGTAGGACAGATTGCAAATAGACTGCAAACAGCCCTTGTTAAGTAGCACAGCAAGCTATATTATCTTTGATCCTTAGCACAATGTAATTTCCTAGAAGAAACTTTCTTGCTTCATTTACATTCTCCTTCCCAATAGTAATTAAAATGGACTCATGGGTATTGGTGGTCCAGATGAGGTTCATGCTCTTCTAGAATTGTGGTTGATAACTTGAAAGATTAGTCTGGTTGATTCATTATAATATCCTGTGTATTTCATTGGGGTTTTGGTGTATTTTGGTTTGCTGGAAAAAAGCAAACTATTTCAACCTACTACTAGAATGTGAAACTCTCCTCCTGAACTTTGTTCATCTTTAAATCCTTCCATCAAGTAGAAGACCAATTCAAAGTTAACATAAAACCATAGCATTATATTACAATAATATGTTAAGTTAATATATATTGAGTTGGGCCATCTAATTTAGTATTGCTTACGGAAAGTACTTCAGGATTTCAGGCAGGAAATCTTTCCAGTGCTAATTAAAGAAATCAGAACTTGATCCTTCAACTATTCATAAGTAGATGGAGTAGTGACTAAATTATGGCTTTGCAATTTTCCAAGCTTGGATAAACTAAAAAAAAAAAAAAGCTAGAAGCATACTTCCTTTGTAAATTGTCCATTTTATATAGTCATGGTCATCACTTTTCTATCATCACTAGCATAACACTTGTAGTGATGATATCCATTCTAAGCCAGTTCTACAGATATTTTACTGTAGTGGTTTTGTTCCCAACATAAAAATAATACAGAAACTCGTGTTTCAAATAGAGCTCCTGCTCTATTTGTATATTAAAGAATATAACAAATATATTTGTTGGCAAGGTAGTAATCCTTCTGAATCTACCAGGATCCCTGTTTCTTCCTCTGAATCTAGTTTGATTTTTAAGGAATAACCAGATAGGATATAACAGCAGAACTATTTCTAAAATAGGAGAGCCATCAAAAGAATAAACATTTGCTGTAGTTATGTAGGAAGAATGGGTATTCTGAAAATACAGGCATTAGCTTTTAGCTTCTTGCTGAGTTAGGAGTGATTGTGACCCCAGGTACCTTGAAAATACAGAAAGCAGTATTTGTTTTTGGGCTTCCCATGTATCTAGAAGTTACTTTGTAAGTAACCAAACTGGACAGGTTTTCTGCCAATAAACAAACAAATGGCATGAAATCCCTACAAAGCACAAGTTAGTGGGAATCATTTTTGTCTCTCTGGATTTTCTAGGACATCCAGCCCATATTTTAGTTCCAAAGAAGGGTGTCAGCATTCAAGGAAAACAAACTCCAACACCAGGCATTTTCTCAAAGATTCTTCCAAAGCTGACAAGGGATGGGTTGACTTTCAAAGGGAGGTAGCTGCATCAAACTGCTGAATTAGTATCATATCTGCAAGCTTGGGCTTAGCTAACACAGATTATCTTGATGAGCTTCCCACTGACATTAATTGTCCCTTTTTAAATTGTGGTATAACATAAAATATATGTCTTGCCTTTGTTAGTTCCATAGTAATTAAAAGGATCACACTTTTTTTCTTTTTGTGTGTTTAGATTTTTTTTTTTTTTGCATAGTAATGAGGGACTCCTGTCCCTTGTATTATTGTCTATTCTGATTCTTCTTTGTTATGTAACTGCATACAACTGGCTTGTATGTCAATAGCCGGCTTAGACATACATTTAATAGGCCCTGGTCTTCAAAATTTAAGCCACAATAAACATGGCAACTTTTACCATTGGGTTGATATGTGTATGTATTTATTTTTTTTGGCTGCAACGATGAATTCTTCAGAAATTTGAAACTTCCACATCCCATCAGAGTCTCGTGGGTGGAGGGGGAAGGAAGAAGGATTCCTTCCATTTGTCAGTGAATGTAGCTTTGTTTAGAAACTGAGCAGAACTGAGATCTAAGTTTCAAGAGTCCTTTGGCAAAATGCTGGATCGGTTGCTCTCATCAGCGTTCCCATTCTTCTGCGCATGGCAGCAACTGTGTTGTGAACTGCTTAGGAAGACTAGGAATTATTGGTCAATTTTTAAATTTTCCATGAAGCTAAAGTTATTTTGAAGGGTTGTACCCTAGCAGCAAACTAAAATAATAACCTACCTAGCTACTTGGTATGCACAAATGGAAAAGGGGTAATGCACATGATGAACTTGGATTTCACTTCAGAATGTGATGGACTCAAATTATAGACTTTATAATTTGTCCAATGACTTCATGATGTGTGAATTGTCATTAGTGTTCATATGACTTTTATTAGATGCACATGATTTACTCCCGAGGTCTAGGCAATGTTGGTTCTGGAACATCTGCCTGGTAGATGTTGGAACAATTCTTTTTTTGTTGTTGAAAATTTTATTGATTTTTGAAAACAAACATAAACAAACCAAACATAAAACATAAAACATCTTTTTTGAAAGCAGCATAGTCCCATGTTACATCTCTTCGTACAGACACAAATTCAAGTTCATGCTCATTTTTATATTCCATTCCATATCTTATTACTATTCTACATTTTCAATATAGCTTCTCCCCTCTTTTAACTTTCTTAATTTTATTTTATTTATTTCATCTCAATTCAAATCATTGTACTTATATTCTTTGTCCTGTTTCAACTGTCTACTATCTTTTCTCATTAAACAAAATTTCTCCTGTAATCACTGATTGGAGTATGACGCCTTTATATCTTTCCCCTTTAAAAAAAAAGAAAAAATTATAAATGTATAATATAATTAAAACAACAATCCATACCAATTCAATTCTATCATTAATATTAATATTCATTTACATCTTAACATTTTACACATTACTTTTCAGATAAATATCATACTTCTATGGGAACACTTATAAACTTTCCATAGTTAATTCCCCCCCACTTCACTTATATTTTATAAAACATTGAGTAATTAAAATGTTCCCGTTCCTTCCTAATTCAATTCTCTCATTTATTTTATTTTATTTCATTTATTTTGTTCACAAAAGTTTCACTAAATTACACTGACTATTTTATCCCTCTTTTTAATCATATGTTGTTTCCAATTTTCTACCATTATTTCTATTACAAATATAACAATACCATCTTATGTACCTTCACAGAATCCCTTTTTCAGTTAGATTTTCACCCATTATCTCTGAATAAGTCCTGTTTCTTTATATCTTGCTCCAAACCTTGTAACTTCTCTTCCTTTCCTTCTTCCCTTTTTTCTTCTCTCTCCCCTTTTTACTCCCCTGTCTCTCCACCTCCATTTCCCTCTTCTGTATTCCCCCTTCTGTTGCTTTCCAACATTATATCCACTTTTCACATTATTTTTCCCTTTTTTGGCTGTTTTTTTAAGTCTTAAATTCTCCATTCTCTTTTCCCCCTTTCCCCTTTCTTCCCCAGATAGAGTTACTTGTTCATTAAAGATGGCTTCTTCTTTGTCCCAATCTTCTTGTTGCGCAGTCTTTTCTTGTTGTTTCTCATAGTTGCAGATCGCCATTTCTAAGAATTGAAAAATGGAGCCAAAGGAGCCCTTCCCTTCTTGTGTCTCTTCTTTATATTTTTTAAATTCCATTTTCAGTTCATCCAGAGATAATGCCATTGTAGAATTTTTTAAACAACCACCCAATTGTTTTTAGTCATTCAAATATAATATCCAAAAATCCCAAAGTCACCAAGCAATCCAAATACACACAAGCTGTTTCTTTTTACACTTTCTTCTTTTTCACTTTCTCTTCCTGGGGTTACTATTTAGTTACAAAGTTCCAGTTAAAATGTATCTTTTAGAAGTCTTATTGAGATTTTACTTTAGATTCTTTTAAAGTCCAGGCAGTCTCCTCCTTCCAAATCCTGCCCTTATTCCTTTCCTCTCCCTTCCTACTTATAGAAAAAAA